TTCCTTCTCTCTCTCTCTCTCTCTCTCTCTCTCTCTCTCTCTCTCTCTTCTTTATCTCTCTCTCTCTCTCGCTCTCTCTCTCTTCTCTCTCTCTCTCTCTCTCTCCCTGTCTCCCTGTCTGTCTGTCTGTCTGGTCTGTTGTCTGTCTGTTTGTCTGTTCTGTCTGTCTGTCTCTCTTCTCTCGCTTCTCTCTCTCCTCTCTCTCTCTGCTTTCATCTCTTTATCTATCTCTCTCTTTCTTTCGAGCGCGCGCTCTCTCTCTCTCTCTTCTCTCTCGCTCTCCCCTCTCTCTATGTCTGTCTGGCTGTCTGTCTCTCTCCCCCTCTCTTTCTATCTCTCTTATCATTCTTTCCCTTTTCTCTGTTTCTTTCTCTTTATCTTACCGTCTATCTATCTCTCACATATTCTCACGAGTCCGTCGACGACGCTCACGCGTTCAGAACCCCCCCCCCTACCTAAAATAAGGCAGCCCCGCAGACGGCTCGTGTCGTGTATAGAATTGGTCGTTCAATTTCCGTTGCCTTACCGCTGGTGTCGCAGATGCGAAGAAGGACGGGTCGCGCCCAACCTGTTTTAGGTTTAATTTCCCTATGATCAACACGTCACATCACCACGCTGTACGAGGGGATGGTCATATGTCACGTGAGTCTGTGACGGTGCAATGATAGGGGAGGCTAATGGGTAGGTGGGCGCAGTGATCGATGGCCGCTTTGGGGGGCCCGGGATTTTTGGCTGCGGAAATATGCGCGATCGCAGAGCAGAAGCGCGTATGCAGCAGCCGCAGCGAGTAGTAAGGCAGCAGCAGCGAGACAGCAGCAGCAGCAGCGCAGTTAGTAGCCGAGCAGCAGCAGCGAAGCAGCAGCGCTGCAGCAGCAGCCAGCAGTAGTAGCAGCGCAGCATGTCAGCCGTTGAGCTTCCAGTAGTGTAGACAGCAGCAGACAGCGATCAGCGCAGCAGTAGTGTGTAGCAGCAGCTAGCCAGTAGTAGTAGTAGCAGACCAGCGTAGTTAGTAGCGCGCCAGCAGCGTATATGTACGCGCCAGTAGTAGCACAGCGAGCGCAGTAGTAAGTGGATGGCCCGTCTATATGTCCCCCGGGTTTACTGCGCGGAACGTACCTGGGTACTCGGTCGGTCCATTACCGCGAACGTAGCCCTAGTACTACTTTATATGCCGGATCGTACTAGACTTTTACTCACTAAGGTCTAGGGACTCGCTCTACGCATAGCTCCCTAACCCGTAACCCGACCATAACCCTAAAACTAATCCTAACCGCAGACTCTGGAGTCTAACCTGAGCCGATATCAAATTAGTGACAGGGTGTCATCTGGTATACGGCACCGTCCAGGGTTACGTTTCCGCAAGTACCCTGGGGCGTACATGACCTATGAGCAGTGTATTAGTTAGCAGCGCTAGTAGTAGCAGCAGCCTCAGGTAGTAGCAGCAGCTAGCATGCAGCAGCAGTAAGCTAGTGCAGCAGCAGCGCAGCCACTAGTTCAGTGTAGCAGCAGCGCACGCCAGTTAGTTGTAGTCAGCAGTAGGTAGCAGCAGCAGCAGAGTAGCTGCTGATAGGGTCTATGTCCCCGGACCGGTACTGCCGGACGTACCTGGGCAGGTACGGTCGGTCTTACCGCGACGCTTTACCCTAGTTGCTATTATTCATATGCCGGATCGTAACCTAGCTAGCTCCACTAACGAAGTTACGTTGGACTCGACCATACGCATTACCTCTCCTAACCCTAACCCGACCATAACCCTAACCTAATCTAACCCTTTAACCCTATCCTAATCCTATCTATTATAATTAGTGACAGGGTCGTTTGGTATACCGAGGACCGTACCCAGCGGTACGTTCCGGCGTATCCCTGAGGGGACATGACCCTATTGAGCAGTAGTATTAGTGCAGCAGTGTGTAGCAGCGCAGCTGTAGCGCAGCGCAGCAGCAGCTAGTAGTAGTTAGCAGCAGCCAGCAGCAGCGTAGTCATGTAGTAGCGGCAGCAGCAGTCAGTAGTAGTAGCAAGCAGTAAGTAAGTTAGCAGCGGAGCAGAGTAGTAGCAGCAGGCGCCTCAGGGTCAGCCGCAGCACAGTAGTAGCAGCAGCGTAATAGCAGCAGCAGTAGATGTAGTAGTAGCGCCAGCGTAGTGTAAGTAGTTCGCAGCCAGCAAAGCAGCGTGTAGCAGTTAGCAGCAGAGCCAGTAGTTAGCCAGCAGCACGCGCAGCAGCCTAGTAGCAGAAGCTGCCAGCAGATCTAAGTAGTAGCAGCAGTATCAGCTAGTAGTAGCAGCAGCATCAGTAGTCAGTGTAGTCAGCAGCCACGCAGCAGCATGTAGTCAGCAGCAGCAGCAGCAGAGTAGCAGCAGCAGTAGCAGCAGCAGCAGTAGCAGCAGCAGCAGTAGCAGCAGCAGCAGCAGTAGCAGTAGTAGTAGCAGCAGTAGTAGTAGTAGCAGCAGCAGTAGTAGTAGCAGCAGCAGTAGTAGTAGTAGCAGCAGCAGCAGCAGTAGTAGCAGCAGCAATAACGCGCACAAGTATACGCGAGCACACTCGCATACACACACACACACACTCACGTACACGCACGTATCATAATACATTTACATTAACGCCCGCAAATCCAATTGTCTATTTGATCAACGGTGTCTCTTTCCGTCTTCGATATAGTCCCTTGGACTTTGATCTGCAGCCGGTCTGTATCATGCGTTTTTAGCGAAGTAATGTTTGTGCGTTTGTATTTCGCGTGAAATATTTCACGTTCTTATTTACCGTTATTTCGTTTATCGTTTTTGCCTTCATTGTTTTTATTTTTGAAAATTTTATTTCTTCTGTTTTTGTTGTATTTACGCTCTGAAATTAACCTTATTGTTCCTACCTATGATGTCTTGTTTATCACATCGGGGTTCTTCTAGCCGAGGTTTCCTAATTGTGGTAATATTACGAGAGGTAATGGGCAGCAAAACATCCTCGTAGCTACAACAAGACAACACCTGCGTGGCTCACCTAACGCTGTGCTTTCGATATTTTGTTTTTTTTTGTTACACGAGCGTATATTTTTCAGGAACCGTTTCCGACGAATGACGAAAATTCTCTTTTGCGTTCCTTCGTTCGAATGCTTATTGTTTTATTTCGTGAATTATAGCCTATGCCCGAGTTATTCTCGCATGCTTTTAGTTTTTCCCCCCTTTCTCATCTGTATGAGCGCATGAGTCGTTACGTATATTTGCGGTGGCGGTGTTTCGTTTCGCCGTGGCCCCCATTTAGATCGTTTGCTCTCCGACGTTTGCAAACCTCGCGAGTGTCGGAAGGAAACACTTTGCACGCTGCGCCGAAAGAGAGAAAAACGCGCGATATTAGCGCCTCTAGTGGCAATGGATTTCTTGCACGCGCTTTCGAAATGTAGTGCCGAAGTTAGTTTCGAACGCTGAAAGATCGACTGGTTGGTTGCCAGGCGCGCGCGTAGTTACACAAAGGCATGCTTGCTTCTGCTGTGTGAATTTCTTTGGCAGACGAGCCTCCACAGAGAGTTCTGATGACTCGCCCGCCAAATACCAGTTCTTCTTATTTATTTATTTCTAACGAATTGTTGAGTGCGATTACTAAAGAAAGTCTAAAAATAAAAAAGCTTGAGAACCCGTACGAAAATCCGAGGCTAAATTTGCCGGTAGAGAATCGGACGTTTTCGCGCCATCGCTAATTTCTAAGCAGGAATCACGATTGACGGTGAAAGAAACCCGGAAATTATAGTCATTTACGACAACTTTTGCGTAATTCATGTAAAAAATGTATACGGGTCGTTTTCACGCGCCCATCAGCACTCTCCCGATATGCAGCTTGCTCGGTGGTTCGTCTGCGCGCATGCGCGTTGCGTGCTATTTCATATGTATTTTTATTTTGGGAGCATGGCGTTCGATCGTAGCTGCATGATGAGAATAATACTAAGCAATTACATTACGAAAATTCCGAAATTCGTCTACCGCGGTTCGTATTTCGTCGATTTTCACGTTCTATCGTCTCGTTTCTATTCGTTCAAAACCTCGTTAAATAAGTTTTCAGACGATTTACGGTGCAGAGTAACGAGGTAAGAGGCGTCTGCGCCACGCCAATATTACGGTTTTAACGCGGCTGGCCTCTCGTCACACTTGTCACGAACGTACGGAGTCGCCAATAACTCCGGTAGTTTAAAACACCGTTCATGGCAGCAAAACATACGTCTATACGCTCTCCCCCACCCCCAATCTCTCTCTCTCTCTCTCTCTCTCTCTC